CCTCCCCGAAGCCGAGGCTCGTTCGCTGCCCGTCGCCGAAGACCAGCTAAGCCGCCCCGGCCAGGTAAGGCGCGGCGCCTTCTCTTACCTGCCCATCCGGGTGGGAGGAGGAAGCAGGCAGGGTCCTTGGCCAGCTGGCCGTCGCGGGAAGTCCCTGCTGGCGTGGAGGGAGAGGCGGGACGGCGGTGGCTCTGAGGGCGGGCCAAGCCAGGCCAGGTGAGGGCCACCTGTTTCACCTGCCGATGTCCCCTGCCCGGTGGAGGTGTGTCGCTCCTGCTCTGGATTACCGGCCTTCCCGGCACGAGTTTGGGCTTGGTTTCTAGGAAAGCTTCCTCGAAGTCCAAAGGTGAGCTTTTGAGTTTCCCGCTCAGGTGACAGCGCTTAGCTCAGCAAGCTTAGGGGGATCAAAACCCCNTCTGAACGTCCCTCACCTGCTTTGGCCCTCTTTGCCTTGGGAAGCACAAAAGACAGGAATTTTTAAAAACTTTAAAACAATTGCTGCCAGCCTGCCTTCCATCGAGGACCTGTACATGGCACGAGTCAAAAAGAGGACTGTGAAACTATCTGCAGACCCCTCACATCCTGGATATAAATTGTTTCAACTCCTACCCTCAAAACGACACTATAGGGCAATGCACGCCAGAACAACTAGACACAAGGACAGGTTTTCCTCAAATGGCATCCCTCTGCTAAACGAATAATTCCCTCACCACTGTCAAACCATTCACTAAGGGTGCATTTCTATTACTATTAGTCTTCTCATTACTCCTATCATCCATCTCCTCCCATTTATCACTGTATGACTGTAACTTTGTTGCTTGTATCCTTACAATTTATATTGACAGTTTCCTAGTATGATTTGATTGCTTATTTGTACCCGATGACTATCATTAAGTGTTGTACCTTATGATGCGTGACAAATGTATCTTTTCTTTTTAGGTACACTGAGAGCTTATGCACCAAAGACAATTTCCTTGTGTGTCCAATCACACTTGGCCGATAAAGAATTCTGTTCTGTTCTGTTTTATTCTACTAATTTTCCCATGACGCTCTATGGATTTTTAAAAAAATATTTTTGGTGCTATGATTGGCTTTCTACTATTCCATATTGATCACTAGTGGCAATTTTTATAGGATTGTGGAAATCTCTCAGGATGAAGAGGCCAAATTTAAATGGCACTTTAAAGAAACAATCTTGAAGCAGCAAGTTAGACTATCAAAAAATAAAACTTCTCTACATACTTCACTCTTTCATGACAGATATTTTAGATGATATTTTCAAATTGTAAGCAAACTGATTCCCCTCCGCCAGTTTTCATTCATTACGATATACAGGAATTTGTAATAGTTTTGTTTCATTGGAAAACTATCAAATATTCTGGGAACTTTCGGCTGCTATAAAATGTGGCGTAAATTTTAAATTGCAATGAAGATAATTAATACATTTATTTCTTTGTATACGCACACATTTGTTTGGGCCTCCCAGCAATGTTTAACAGCCAGAGAAGCCTCTTACATCATGTTGTCTCAAATGCTGTGTAATCTACTTTGGATGCCTCACCCATTTCCTAGAAGATAATTGAAGAGCTTCCCCAGCCAGGCTGGTGCCTGGAAAGCTGACTTTATGAACAACTCAAAAGTTCCCCATCCAGGAATGCCATTCCTTGGGGTGGGTGTTAATAGGAAGATGGCGGAAGGACTGAAAACCATGGGGCTGATCGGAGCTGCCATTTAAGGGGAGAAAGACCAAGTGCAACGGATGCCACATTCATGTGTCTTTTGCATCATTGGTGCAAAAAAAAAAAAAAGTGGTTTGGAAAGCAAGCTCCCCTTGATGTCTCTATGAAGATTCCCAAGTCATCCAGGTGATGGTTGTCCCAAAGGTGCTTTTTCAAAATGCAAGTGGACTTTGTTTTTCCCGACAGACATTTTGCTTCTCATCCAAGAAGCTTCTTCACTTCTGACTGAATGGTGGGAGGATGGAAGGATTTATATGATTTATATTATTTGTGGTCATCTGGCCATTAGCATTCTTTCTGAGAGTCTTTGGGGTTTATCTATGCCAGGGATGGCTAACCTTTTTCTCTTTGCGTGCCGAAATCCGTGACCTGACAAATGTACGCCCGACAAAACCGCGGCGATAAAACCATGACGTCGACAACGCGCCCACAAAGGCGCGTCGACAGAAGCGTGATTACGGTTAAGGTAAGGGTTAGGGTAAGGGTTAGGTTTAGGGTTAGGTTTAGAGCGCGCTTCTGTCAGCGCGCTGTTGTCGGCACGCTTCTGCTCTCATTCATCGGCGCAATTTCGAACTTGCGTTATTTTCCCAGCAGTTTTGTCGGCGCGCTTTTGTGGAGCGCACATTTGTCAGTGAACCCTGAAATCACGTGCGTGCCCATACCCACAATGCAATGCACCCTGGCCTGCCTGTGCATGTGTGCATGTCCCTTGCCCCCACTCATACACATGCTTCTCTGTGCATGCAGCAACCCCCCCTGGCCTGTTTTAGGCCTAGCAGGCCTCCCTGAAGTCTTATGCGACCAAAAAGAGGCCATGGGAGGGCTGTCCCACACACTCCCCCTGCCCCCTGAATACACATGCAACCCTCCTGCTGCATGTGTAGCAGAGACCCGAAAATCAGTTGGCCAACAGGAGATGCATGTACATGCATGGTGGAGCTGAGCTGGGCGATGGCTCGTGCCCACAGAGAGGGCTCCGCCTGCAACCTGTGGCACGTGTGCCATAGATTCGCCATCATGGATTTATGCCCTCAGGGTCACCTGAATAGTGCAAATGGGTATGGAAACTTCTTGGAACTGCCGTCTACATTAAGACTAAACAGTCCTCTCTCAACAGAGAGGGAGGGATACGGTACCACCTACCTCCTGTTTACAACACCGTCCTTTCAGCAGTTCCCAAAAGCTTCCTACACCCATTTGCACTGTTCAGTGACTCTGAGGGCTCAGCTAAACCTCCAGGTGGCCTCAATGACTCTCAGAAAGAATGCAAATGACCAGATGACTGCAAGGATCCTTCCATCATCCACCATTTAGTCAGAACTGAAGAAGCTTCTTGGATGAGAAGCAAAATGTCTTCAAGGAAAAACAAAGCCCAGTTGCCCTTTTGAAAAAGCGCTTTGGGGCCCTTATGGTGTATTTATATATTATGTTTTTATGTTCCCATCTTCTATTCAGGAGCTCAGAGTGGCATTTATAGAGCTTCTTCCTCAGGTTTCTCAACTACAATCACTCTTTGAGAGAAGGGCTGGTCCATGTATCTCCCTGCTCCTACTAGAGCACCTTCTCCACTCCCCACATCACAATGCTCTCTAATAGCTAAATCCAGGACAGCAGGAATCATAGCAATAGCACTTAGACTTATACACTGCTTTACAGTGCTTTACAGCCCTCTCTAAGTGGTTTACAGNGAACTAATTGTCTCCTGCAAACTCCACTCCCCTTTCGCTCCTCTTTTATTTCCTCTGGGAGGGGCCATTCATCGTCCACTTGTGGCCTTATTACACCCAAGTCAACCCCTGTTCTTTAGCTATTCCCTTCGTCTGGCAACTCTGCGCATGCGCACACTGGGAACAAGCTCAAGTGTGGGGGCAGGGGGGACAGGCAGTTTTTTCACTAGCGCCCCCAGTGGTATGAACAATCTATGGAGTGAGGTTCACTTGACCCACGTTTTCCGATCTGCAAAGGCAGTCCAAATCATGTTCTGACAGATGTTTTGGTGCTTGTGGTAGCTTTTAAAACTTTTTTTAAATTTGGATTATTTCATTTAGACAGTAGATTCAATGCAGATTCAGTGCTATGAATTAAATATTGTGTTGTGCGTGTCTTGGCATTTTCTTCTGTTAATGTGCCTGTGCATTTTATTTACGCTGCTGTAAACCACTTTATCCACTGGAGGCCCTACAACATGACATGTAACACAAATAAATTAAGATGACATTAATAACGATCTTCTCTGGTTTCTTTTATTTTAAAAAAAAACCACTCTGGACACAGGCTCTCAACCAATCAGTAGCAAGCACATTATTTATTTAAATTAGTTTTACAAATTTCACTTGATTGGTGAAAGATATGTGGATGTACTGAGAATCATTAAAAAATAGTAGCTGCTATAAATCAATCAAATTCTATTATATATGGAACAACTTTTTAAAAATTAAAACCTCTTTTTTTCTTTCTTTCTTTTCTCTCTTTCTTTCTTTTCTCTCTTTCTCTTTCTTAGCCTATAGACACATTTTAACTTTTGAAGAGCAGGGTTTCGTTTTAAGGAATTGTTTGAAAGCCGTGAAAATGGTTTTTAGCTTGATGAGAAATGTGGTTTTTTAAAATATTAATTGCCATTAAGACAGTTTCCTAATTCAGAAATCTATCAAGGCAGTAATGAGGCAGAAAGAGCGTGTTTAAATGACATTTCCCCCCAATGTGAGCACTACACATGCATGTATGTGAAACACCGATGTGCAAATATGAATGACTGCTGATTAAGCACCACATAGACTATTTTCAAGTCCCCAAATACCACTTTTAAGCTTAAAGTTGTACACTTTAAGTACAATGGAGATCCGTAAATAGCGTTTCAATCAGCAAGGCTCAAGTTCATCATGCTTAATTTCTCTCCTGGCTTTCACCGTGTCATGAGGTAACTCATTTTATCTGTATCCATCATGGTAGCTTGCCGTGAAGTCAGTTCATTTGGTCAACTAGTAATATTCCAGATTTGCTTTTCTAAGTGTCCAAGCTGAGATTATCTCCTCCTTTATAGTGGTTGCCCCCCACCCCCCAAAAAATTATCCTGTGCTCCCAAATCTTGCTCTTTCTGAAATAGGTCAGATCCAACTTGCCAAAAGTTCAGCTCTTTTTGTACATTCAATCTCTGGCTATGACACCATGAGGTAAGAGTAAAAAACACCCCAAAAGCAGAGTTGGTATTCAGCCAGTTCTGACCGGTTCTAGCGAACCGATAGCGGAAATTTTGAGTAGTTTGAAGAACCGGCAAATACCACCTCTGGCTGGCCCCGCCCCCATCTATTCTCTGCCTCCCGAGTCCCAGCTGATTGGCTCGGTCTTTTGCCCCGCACAGAAGAACGGAGCTGGAAAGCAGGTTAGAGCGGTGGGGAGGGAATGGAGATTTTACAGCATCCTTCCCCTGCCACACCCACCAAGCCATGCCACGCCCACGGAACCAGTGGTAATTTTTTTTTAATCCCATCAGTGCCCAAAATGCTGTCCTTACTTAATTCCTGGAAAGGGGAACAATATAAAACAACTCTCAATTCTTGAGTAAATGAAAGGAGACGTTCAGAAGTTAACCCAGGAAGCTGTGAAACCCTCACGCTCTCTTGCAATGCCGTCCAATCAAAAGGAGAATTGGGTTTCCTCTTACTTCCAGCCCATCTGGTCCTCACAGACGATTTGACATTCTTTTCATTCCTGCTCAATCATTTCGATAAGGGTAAACTAAAATCGTCCAGCCACCGAGATCTGATAGAGGGGACTCCATGACTGCTGTGACTCTTCTACGTGTCCCAACAACAGAACTGTCTTCTCCTTTGAGAGGAGGGCTGCACAACAAGAGGGCCATTCTGAAAACTGGCCATGGCTGGGACAGCAGAGGCAAACAAGGAGGAGACTTTAAGATCTTTCTCCAGCGAAGTTGATGATGCCACCCTTGCTTTCACATGAGTGACTAGATACATGCAAGTGTGTACATATAGGTATGTACACACCTGTGCTAGTCTTAATTCATCACTCAACAGACCTGTGCTGTGCTTGAGTGCCAAAGGCTGCCTATTCCTATCCCAAACTATCACACTGGGATTTTGGGGAAGTCATCCACGTTCTACTCTACACCAAGAGCATCCATTGGAAGAATAACTGGCAACTGACTTCCTGCTTCTTCTACTTGGCTGACTCCTGCAGGAAAGGAGAATTCTGAGGAAGGAGATACTAGGCAGTGAGCTGAATTGGAAAAAACACTGGGAAAGAAGACAACAATGGGAAGCAAATCACATCCCTAGGAGGAGGGGGCACCTATGAAGGACCTTAAGGGAGGTTGAAGGCCAGACAGTATCTCAGGCTTGTTATCCTTTGGTTCAGTTCAACCCGGATGCACAACCTAAGCTCCATCGCTACCCATAACTCAGCCTGGTCACGGATGGACAGTGTGTGACTTTATGAACCTAGCCTAAACAGATGTAACCTGACCACAAAGATTCAGTGGCCGCCACCCTTTTCCCAAGCCAGGATAATCCTTATTTTCTCTGCGGTGAGATCATCCTCTTCATCTGGCTTGGAAGAGTAGGCAGAGTGCTTACTCCACGCACACAAAGCCGGCGGACTTCCACGACTCCTTCAGACCATGCTTTGCCTGCTCACATCCATATTGTATCCCGGAGAGCCAGAGCTGTTTTGGCCGAAATCAATGAAAATCCCATCTGAATCGGAATCAATCGATTCTAAAATCTGGTCCACTATGTTCTCAGGGCTGGCTGTGGGAGCAATGGCGAGTAAATCCGAATCCCGGCCTAACTCAAAGGCCCTGGCCGGGTTTTCTGTGGGGTAGAAGAGTCCTTTGGATTGATCAGACACGCATTGCATCGAACCAGCAGAAATCCTCTCCTGTTCTCCTGCCGGCAGGATCTTCATGGTGAGCATGGAGCTCTTGGATCCACTGTCTGTGATGGTCGTGAGATTGGAGTAGCCCGGCATCTCACCGCAGGAGGTCATTTCTGAAACCGAATGTCGTCGGATGCCGGAGCTGTTGGCAGTGGCGCCTTCTGTCTCATACTCGGCTACGGGAGTCAACAAAGGATTGTTGTAACTTTTGGATCTCACCACTGGATTCTTAGCAAGAATATCCCCCGATTTAGAGCGCCGAAAGAAGCGTTTTTCTGTTAACAAACACAGAGAACAATTAAAACCTTCGCACTGTCCCTACCGTGACAACTAACCCACCACAGAAGGTCTGTGCCCAGGTATTTGGACGGTGATTTCAAATCAGTATGTGAACTTCCTTTTCTTACATTTGGCTTTATTTTTTTCCTGGTCATACAACTCCCCTGTGGCTGTTTGTACGACTGTCTCCCTGTTCTGACCAAAGCTTCCCAAGAGCATGAAGCAAACTCCTGGTCCCGACTAAAACCCCTTTTATTAATTGACTGTGAATTCTGCTCATTCCCATCCAGCAAAGTCTTTCAAG